CCCACCACCGTGGCTTTGTCCAGAAGGAAGTCAGACATTCAGAAAATGTCCTTTCGACTCTAATTAGCATATTACCCTTTTCTTAGTATAAATACCACATTTTGATTATCCATGCATCAGCTGATAGACATTGAGGTTGTTTCCACTTTTTGGCTTTTATTAGTGTAGATGCCATACAAGTTTTTGTGTTAACATGTTTTTAATTCTATATATTTGGAGTGGTATTGCTGAATCATATGGTAACTATATTTAATTTTTTGAGGACCTGCAAATTTTCCCAAGTGGCTGCACCATTTTACATTCCCACCAGCAATGTACAAGGGTTCCAATTTCTCCACATCCTTATCAATACTTGTTATTGTCCATGTTTCTGATTATAGCCACCCTAAAGGGTGTGAAGTAGTCACGCAGTAGTTTTGATTTGCATTTCTCCTGTTGACTAATGATGTTAAGAATCTCTTCATATGCTTATTGGCCATTTGTATGTCTTATCTGGAAAAACATACAAATTTGATTTGATCTATTCAAATCATTTTAATTGGGTTATATGGCTATATTAGTTTGCTAGGGCTGCCATAACAAAATACTCTGGTGTCTCTCTTATAAAGACACTGGTCATATTGAATTAGGGTGCAACCCTTATAACCTCATTTAACTTTAACTATCTCCTTAAAGGCCCTATCCTATATAATAAAAGCCTAATATGCTAAGTGTCCAGTCATCCGTTCAACCAATTAAAGCGTAATATGCTAATGATATGCTAAGGCTACTCAACCACTCGCTATGACGTGCACTGACCACCAGGGGGCAGACACTCTGGTAGGTTAGCTTGCTGCTGGGGTCCAGCTAATTGGGACTGAGCGAGACAGGCCCTAGAAATTTCATGCACCGGGCCTCTAGTCTTCAAATAATAACTTTGGGGATAGAGCTTCACCATGTGAATTGGGAGGTGGGAGCACAATCCAGGCCAAAACAATGTCTTTATTGTTGGTTCTGGCTCACTCTTAAGAGAATAGCCTTTTGACCTTGCAATCCCACTTCTGGGAAGATAGCCCAAGAATCCAAAAACACCAATCAGAAATAATGTATGTACCTCTATGTTCATTGCAGTGTTATTTACAATAGCCAACATCTGGAAAGAGCCCAAGTGCCCATCAGCAGATAACTGGGTAAAAAGGCTGTGGTACATTTTCACAATGGAATACTACACAGCTATAGAAAAGAAGGAAATCTTACACTTTGCGACAGCTTGAATGGACCTGGAGAATATTATGCTAAGTGAAATAAGCCAGTCAGTGAAAGACAAATACCATATGATCTCACTAATATGTGGAACCTAATGAACAAAATTAAGTGATGAACTAAATGGGGGAATGGGGGCATTATTGGGAAAAAAAAAACCCACTGATTTTTTTAAGACTACAATTTTGAAGCTAGTGATCAAGACAGTGTGTTACTGGCATAAGAATAGACATATACACCAGTGTAACAGAATACAGAGCTCAGACAAACCTTCAATGTATTGATTTTCAACAAAGATGGAGTTTTTCAATGAATAGTGCTTGAATAACTGGATATAAAAACAAAACAAAAACTCAACCTTTACCTCCAACCATACCTACAATTAACTTGAAATGGATCACAGACCTAACTAACTATAAAAGCTAAAACTGCAAAACTTCTAGCAGAACATAGAAACTCTGTCTTGACTTTGGAGTAAGCAGATTCTCAGCCCAAAGAAACTATAACATAAAAGAAAACAAATGAAAATTGGACTCCATCAAAATGTAAAGCTTCTGCTCTTCAAAGGACATTAAGAAGCCGAACCGGTTTGGCTCAGTGGATAGAGCGTCGGCCTGGGGGACTCAAGGGTCCCAGGTTCGATTCCGGGCAAGGGCATGTACCTTGGTTGCGGGGCACATCCCCACTGGGGGGCGTGCAGGAGGCAGCTGATCGATGTTCTAACTCCCTATCCCTCTCCCTTCTTCTCTGTAAAATTCATAAAATATATTAAAAAGAGAAGGAAAAAAAGGACGTTAAGAAGAACAAAAGGGGCCCTAGCTGGTTTAGCTCCGTGGATAG